AGTCAGGTCAGCAGTTTAAACCTATCAGCTGCTCCACTGGAGAAATTGCATGCTTAAGTCAGAATGACCTTCTCCCCAATCCATTATTCTAGAAGAGTGTGATTTTCTGAAATTCCAAAATGCCATTTCCATGAATTAAAACTAAATCTGAAAAAAAAAAAAAAGACAAGCATGAATGTCATAAATCCCGTTTCATAAAATTATTATGGAAAAGTCTTTGCATATCCAATGGGGAAAGTGTCCCACATACTACCCTGAAGGCTGCATGTGAGGCCATTAACAAGGGGAAAGATACTTTAAATTTTTATGCTTTCTGTTTTCTTAGAACACATTTATGATTTTGTGTTTTTTTTATGCAAATATGCTACAGAGGGTCTCTTTGGTGAGACAAATCATGCAACCCCTTGAACATCAGCTTCCTATGCACACAATGTGCACTATATACGTGCACATGTTCCTTATGTTAGTAAATAATATGCAAAAAAATACAGTACTGCCATCTCCTTTTACGAAATGAATGGGGTAATTTTTATCTGCTACCCTCCAGGCAGCATAGTGGTTTTGAATCAGGCTGTGAACCACAAGGTCAACAGTTCGAAACTACCAGCTGTTCCATGGGAGAAAGATGAGGCTTTCTGCTCCTGTAAAGATTTACAGCCTCAGAAACCCTGTACAGGGTCGCTATGAGTCGGAACCAACTCCACAGCACATAACCACCACCACCACCACCCACCAGGCACTCCTTGGAAACCCTATAAAGGGTTTGAGTCAGAACAGAGCCCTGATGTGGCACTGTGGGCTAATGCATCAGACTGCAAAGTTGTTAACTGTAAGGTCGGTGGCTCAAGCTCACTAGCTGCTCCGTGGAAATCCTACACAAGGTCGCTATGGGTCAGAATCAATTTGACGGCACTTAACAACAACAGCAACAAGCCCTAAAGTAATGGAGTCCCTGAGTGGCACACACAGTTAAACACTCAACTCATGAAAAGACTGAGGAGTCAAACTCACTCTTCTGTGCCTCAGAAGACAAGCTTGGTGATCTGCTTCTGAAGGGTACCAAGCCTTGAAGACCTTCTGCAGCAGTTTTCCTCTGGGGTAGTCATGAATTGGAATCAACTCAACTGACAGCAATCTCAAGTCATACAGGAGACCAAGCAGAGGAAAACTGACAGATGCCGCCTGAATTTACGTCTGACTTCTAGTCCATACCTAGGCAAACTCAAAGCAGAACTGTGAGGTGCCGACACATACTGAGGCCAAGAAAAGGCAACCTGGGTTTTACGCCATCTTCAATCACCAAAATTGGTCAGTTACCTACTATAGGCTTGGTCTGTTATCACTCCATAGTTCTTTTGAGGTATCCAAAACCCCAAACTTGCTCCCAGTTACAGCTAGTACATGCAAATCCAGGCTTGATCCCAGGTCAGTTTGAGACCAAAGGCCACCGTCTTAACCACTGAGCTCTGCTGCCAAGAGACAAGCAGGATGATGTACCTGCAGGCCAGTCCTGCAACTCTCTACACACGAGGACACCCCCAGCTCAAACTGCCCAGCTCTCCTTCGTGCCTGGCTTACTTGACAGCGCCAACATCCTCCGCGTAGCGCTGCATCTCTTCCCGGGCCCTCTCCTCTCGCAGCTCCCGCTGGAGCTCTTCAATCTTCTTCCGCTCCGCCTCATGCTTCTGCTCGGCTTTCCACACTTTCTCCACATTGCGGAGGGTCTGCGGGTGCCAGCTCTTCTTCAGATTCTGTGGTAAATTAAAGGAGGGAGAAAAGACTTTATAAGTGGGTGGGTATGATGGCTCCACCTCACCTAACTCACTGTACTCTCCTCTTCATGCAAGGGCAGGCACACGAGGACAAGAAGTCATTAACAATAGCAAGGCTTGCACCCAATAAGCGCCCACGTAGCTGGGAAGATTTTATTCAAGTTTCAGACTGGAACAAGTCTCTTCTGTGTTCTTTCAAAAAGTTTTGACCTTAAAAATGAGTCTGACTTCTACTGGCTGAGTCTAAGATGGAAGTTTGTGATTACAGGTGGAATAAGAAAGGAGGGAGGAAGGTATACTAAAAGGCTTCAAAAATTTAGTGGAAACATGAAATTAAGAGACAATGAAATTTTCCCATGAACTTTTTGAAGCCCCTCATTTATTCTAAAAGGAAGCAGAATGCAAAGTGGTTTTCATAGGACATTCAGTAATATGAACACAGCCTCTTTTTCCTTCAATCCAGTTAACATGCCATAAAACTGTATAGTTTACAACCTCACATAGTACTTCTTCCAACCTTGAATGTATAGGTTCTCCTCTCTTCCCTTACCAGGTATCTCCCCTTGGTTCTGATCTTCCTTCCACTCTCAAGAAAAGATTCTCCTCACCCTTCTCCTCATCAGCCACTGCTGTAATTCAGTTTCCTGAGTATGGAAGGTTTCCTAGAGGAAATGATGTCTAAGAACGATTACAAATTAACCCAGTGATGTGGGAAGGGGAGAGAGTGGGCCCAGTGGTGAGAAAGAACATAGAACAAATCATTTAGTGTGGTGGGAGATGGAATGCAAGTTGATGTGAGAGGGGTGCAAAATGAAGTCAACTAAGAAAGAAAGGCTAAGGGCCTTATAAGCCATGTTCTTGCTGTGATGTGGTAGGATCAGCACTGAACTGACAAGGTCATCAGTTCAAACCCACCAACAGCTCCTTGGAACCCCTATACATGGTCGCTATGAGTCAAAACTGGCTCAACAGCACTTAAGAGCAACAATAAGCCATGTTACAGGGTTGGACTTTTATCCTGTTGATAGAAGGAAACACTGAACAGTCATATGCAAATGAGTGGCATAATTAGTTATCACGTGAAGAATGAACTGAAGATTTTAAACAGGGAAAAAGTTAATAAATTACAGGATAACCTCAAAGAAAATTCATACACTTTCACATGAGGAAATTTCTGGCAAGATGGTGGACTAGGCAGACAAGAGAGCAAATAAGTGACACTTTGGTGCCTGAATTCAAGTTGTGTTCGGCTACAGACCTATAGAGCCTGCAGAGCCACCAGATCAGCAATTTAGCCAGTCACCCTGCCCCAGCTTCCCTGTGGTCCTAGCAGACACTGAAACCAGCTCCATCAAGGGTCCCCATGAACTACTTCTGGATTGAGTGCCCTGAACATAGATAACACTGAGGCCATTAGGAACTCCATCTAGGGCCAGCAACTCTGCTGTCACATTCCTCCCACACTCACCTCATGGGCTCCATAAATTGCAGGAGGCCTCCAGAGATTTCTACCCACCAGGTCCAACAACTGCACTGTTTATTTTTACAAATACAACAACCCCACAATGCCCAGGAGACAACAATTTTAGCTCACACAGAGACAGAAAGTATTTCTAAGGTAAAAAATAAGGCACTGGAACTAACTGAAAAAAACATTAAAAGGACTATTTTGCTACCTTCAATGGATTAACAGAAAGATCAAGGAAAGCAAAGAGACCTGGAAAAAAAAAAGCTTTAGAAGAATTCAGGAAAACGATACAAGAACAAATTGACAAAATAAATGCAAATTTTGAAATAATATAAAACCTACAATTAGAAATCAAGATTAAGACTAAGATTTCAAAAATGGACAATACACTGAAAGAGCAAAAGAGGCAATCTGAAGCAACGGTAGCCCAAATTAAAGAACTTGAAGATAAATCTCTCAATACTAGTATGCTAGAAGAACAATCAAAATGAGAAAATCCAAAGAATGTCTAAAAGTTATAGGACACCCTGAAGAGCAACAACTTATGGGTGATTGTAAGTTATTCCAGAACAGGAAGAGACAATAAAAAGCACAGAGAAAATTGTCAAAGAGTTGTTGGAAGAAAACTTCCCTAACATCACAAAAGACAATGAGAAGATAAGCATACAAATAAAGCTGACTGAACCCCCTTAACAGGATACATTCCAAAAGAAAATCACCAAGACATATCATAATAAAACATTCTAAAATCAAAGTCAAAGAAAGAATCCTGGGAGCAGATTGGAGAAAACAAAAAGTTACCTACAAAGGCAAACCAATAAAGACTAAGGTCTGATTTTTCAGCAGAAACCATACAGGCATGAAGGCAATGGGATGATATAAACAAAACTCTGAAAGAAAAAAATTGCCAACCAAGAATCAAATACCCAGCAAAACTGTTCCTCAAATACAATGGCAAAATTAAAACATTTCCTGATAAACAGTAATTAAAAGAATTTGTAATGACCAGACCGACTTCACAAAAAAAGAAAAAATGTTAAAGGGTGGTATTGTTTGAACTCAGAGCCAACAACAGCATACAACAACTTGAGATTACCATACATGACAATACCCAGAACTCAACCCAGATATAAAAGTATTTAAAATAAAACAAACCTATAAGACTAAAAATAGGGAACCAGAGATAGCAATTTATAATGAAGTCACCTACAAAGCAAAAAGAGAGAACAGTGTAGATACAGAACTTCCAAATGGCAAGGAAGTCAACAAGATTTCAAGATTTTAAAAAACTGTGTTAAGCAGGGGAAAAAATTAAATAAATTACAGGGTAACCTCAAAGAAAAATAATACACCTGCACATAAAAATTTTTTTTTAAAAGGGGAAAATGAGAAAGATTTACTAACATTAACACAACAGAAATGAAAATGACAAGAAAACCCACAAACAAAATGAATTCAGCATAGAAATTATTTGGAACAAAGAATCTAGCAGAACTACACACACACACACACACAAAAAAAAAACACAAATAAAAATGACTACAGTTAATTCATAACTATTGACAATTATAATGAATGTAAATGGATTAAATGTACCCATCAAGAGACATAAAAAGAAAAATGAATAAAGAAACAGGATCCTTCAGCATTCTGTGTACAAGAGACACATCAAAAAGATGGAGGCAGCATAAATGCCCATCAATGAAAGAATGGTTAAACAAACTTTAGTACACTCACATAATGGAATACAACAAAACGTTAAAGAATAACAATGAATCTATGAAACACCTTACAACATGGACGGACCTGGAGGACACAATGCTCAGTGAAATTAGTCAATCATAAAAGGACAAGTATTGTATGACACCAATGTTGTAAAAAGTTTAAATTAAAAAAAAGGGTTTCTTGATAAAAAACTATCTATGATGGTTACGGGCATGGGGTGGAGGGAGGTATTATCATGGGCTAGAGGATAGACACATGTTAACATGGGTGACCAGGCAGGCAATATACAACAAGGGAGATTAGCAGAGGAAAGATGAAGGTAGTGGGAGGCACAGGAGGATATGCAATAGTTAAAGTGAATGGAGGTAAATACTCTTAACTGTTGGTACATGGAGAGGACTGCAACCATGTAATGAAACAAAGTATATGATTTGTTGAATGTAAAACTGATGATCTGCTCTGTAAACCTTTACTCAATTCACAATAAAAAGTTGAAAAACAAAACAAACAGTAAATAAATACACAAGAGGAAAATCAGAAAGATTTAATGAACTTGACAACAGAAATGAAAATGAAAAGAAATCCTACAAACAAAATGAACTCAGTAAAGAAAATTATGTGGAACCAAGAAACCAGCAGCACTATAAAACACACACAACAAAATGACAGCAATAAATCCATACCTATGTAAATGGATTAAATGCACCAGTGAAGACAGAGCATAGCAGAATGGTTAAGACAACAGGATCCTTCAATATGCTTTCTACAAGACACACATCAAAATGATGGAGACAGCCTAAATGCACATCAACAGAAAATGATTAAACTTTGGTACCTACACACAATAGAATGCTATGGAACACTGAAGAATAACAATGAGTCTGCAAATACCTCACAATATGGATAAAGCCAGAAGACATATGTCATTGTTAGGTGCCATTAAGTTGATTCCAACTCATAGCAACCCTATGCACAACAGAACAAAAACACTGCCTGGTCCTGAGCCAAATTCACAATAATGGTACATTTGAGCCCATTGTTGCTGCCATTGTGCCAATCCATCTCGTTGGGGTGTCTTCCTTTTTCACTGGCTCTCCACTTTACCAAACGTGATGTCCTTCTCTAAGGACTGGTCCCTCCTGATATGTCCAAAGGATGAGAAATAAAGTCTCAGCATCCTAGCTTCTGTGGGTTAATGCGCCAGACTGCAAAGCCGTTTGAACTGCAAGGTCGGCAGTTCAAGCTTACCAGCTGCTCCTTGGAAACCCTATACAGGGTCGCAATGGGTCGGAACCGACTCTATGGCACTCAACAACAACAACATCATGGCTTCTAGGGGGTATTCTAGCTGTACTTCTTCCAACATAGATTTATTTGTTCTTCTGACAGTCCATGGTACTTTAATTTTCTTCTCCAACAACATAACTCAAAATGCATCAATTCTATGGTCTTACTTTTTCATTTCACATGTATATGAAGCTATTGAAAATACCATGGCTTGTGTTAAGTGCACCTTAGTCTTTAAATGGACACCTTTACTCTTCAACACTTTAAACAGGTCTTGTGCAGCAGATTTGCCTAATGCAAGTCCTTTGACATCTTGTCTGCTGCTTCCAAGAGTATTGATAGTAGATCCAAGCAAAATGAAGTCTGTGGCAACTTCAATCTTTTTCAATTTATCATTGTTATTATTGATTCAGTGGTAAAGATATTTGAGGTGCAACCCATACTGAAGGTTTTGGTCTTGATCTTCATCAGTAAATATTTTAAGTTCTCTTTGCTTTCA